CATTACAATAAATGAGGCTATTCTCAAAGAACTCATGAGTTCTCAAAATCAAGTTGGGATAACCCAGGAATTGACCCATGACATTAAAAACAGGACCATTGGCCTCACCTCTCTGGTGATTGTTCCATTTCTCATAATCAATGTGATTGGCTATAGTTATTGTCTTGATTTGATTTTCTAGAACAAGGAGATTCGCGGTTTTCTAGAACAAGGAGATTCGCGGTACTCCATCCCTTTTGGCGTAAACCTTCCAGTCCCCCGGCTTGGCCGTTCCAACAGACTCTCTGGGATGTCTTGTTCACAACCTTACCATCAGACACAGCCATCAAATCTGCTCTATCATTAGAATAAATGAGGCTATTCTCAAAGAACTCATGAGTTCTCAAAATCAAGTTGGGATAACCCAGGAATTGACCCATGACTTTAAAAACAGGACCATTGGCCTCACCTCTCTGGTGATTGTTCCATTTCTCATAATCAATGTGATTGGCTATAGTTATTGTCTTGATTTGATTGTCTAGAACAAGCAGATTCGCAGTACTCCATCCATTTTAGCGTAAACCTTCCAGTCCCCCGGCTTGGCCGTTCCAACAGACTCCCTGGGATGTCTTGTTCACAACCTTACCATCAGACACAGCCATCAAATCTGCTCTATCATTACAATAAATGAGGCTATTCTCAAAGAACTCATGAGTTCTCAAAATCAAGTTGGGATAACCCAGGAATTGACCCATGACTTTAAAAACAGGACCATTGGCCTCACCTCTCTGGTGATTGTTCCATTTCTCATAATCAATGTGATTGGCTATAGTTATTGTCTTGATTTGATTTTCTAGAACAAGCAGATTCGCGGTACTCCATCCCTTTCGGCGTAAACCTTCCAGTCCCCCGGCTTGGCCGTTCCAGATGACTCTCTGGGATGTCTTGTTCACAACCTTACCATCAGACACAGCCATCAAATCTGCTCTATCATTACAATAAATGAGGCTATTCTCAAAGAACTCATGAGTTCTCAAAATCAAGTTGGGATAACACAGGAATTGACCCATGACTTTAAAAACAGGTCCATTGGACTCACCTCTCTGGTGATTGTTCCATTTCTCTTTATCAATGTGATTGGCTATAGTTATTGTCTTGATTTGATTTTCTAGAACAAGCAGATTCGCAGTACTCCATCCCTTTTGGCGTAAACCTTCCAGTCCCCCGGCTTTGCCGTTCCAACAGACTCTCTGGGATGTCTTGTTCACAACCTTTCCATCAGACACAGCTGTCAAATCTGCTCTATCATTACAATAAATGAGGCTATTCTCAAAGAACTCATGAGTTCTCAAAATCAAGTTGGGATAACCCAGGAATTGACCCATGACATTTAAAACAGGACCATTGGCCTCACCTCTCTGGTGATTGTTCCATTTCTCATAATCAATGTGATTGGCTATAGTTATTGTCTTGATTTGATTTTCTAGAACAAGGAGATTCGCGGTACTCCATCCCTTTCGGCGTAAACCTTCCAGTCCCCCGGCTTGGCCGTTCCAGATGACTCTCTGGGATGTCTTGTTCACAACCTTACCATCAGACACAGCCATCAAATCTGCTCTATCATTAGAATAAATGAGGCTATTCTCAAAGAACTCATGAGTTCTCAAAATCAAGTTGGGATAACCCAGGAATTGACCCATGACTTTAAAAACAGGACCATTGGCCTGACCTCTCTGGTGATGCCAAATGCATCTTAGCGGCGTTTACAATATTTGGTCAAGTACGTTTTGTTATTTCTCAGGCTATTTTAAAGGAATTGAACGAATTAGATATTGTTGCAAACAATACTATGTGTTTCCGCTTTATATTTTGGCGAAAGTGACATATTTCCTAGCGTACGCATTCAATTTTGTACAAGTCAGTATGCCAAAATAATGTGTGCTGATATCGACAAAACCGTTGAACTAGTTCGAGCCCACGAGGATTTTTTTAATATTATATTTGCATTACAATTTTAATTTTTAATTTTTAGAGCGAAAGGCGTGTCGCTGGCAAAAGGAAGCGCTCCCGTTCCCACAACAACTCCCGCTCCCGCTTCAGCCACCGACACCGCACCCACTCCCGTTCCCGTTCACGCTTTTGGGCCACCAGTTTCCCGGCCATGGGCACACACCCTCCTCACGGAATGCATCCAATGATAGAGCGCCATTGGTGCACCAGTTACATTTATTTTTACTTTGCCTATAAGGAGTCTTACGATTTTGTTCTGTGTTATGTTTGTGCTGTTTTAAACTTTTTAAAAATGGATATTGTTAAATATAAATGGATGTGCAAATTTTAATTATAATCTTTAGTTACTATTTGCCAAAATATTGTGTGCTGATATCGACAAAACCGTTGACTGACAAATATTGAGTTAAGAGATTTTATTAGAAATGCTCTTGGACTGGCAAATAATATTATTACAATCAAGGAGTTAGAAGAATGGTTTTGTAATGTAATAACCATACTTGTGTATTCAGATTCTTTGAACACCATTGCAGGTCAGAGTGAAATTAAAAACAGATTCACGTCCATTACGCTGGACATCACTGAAAAGATATCAGAGCACCCGGAAGTGGGCCAAGCTAACATTAGTTACATTATCCTGAAATGGTAGATGTTATTTTTTTGGAAAATATTATGGGGATTTTTAATGATGTTAACAATAATAGGCCCAGCAATGGTCCAAGGGAGAGGTCGTGCAAACTCAGTTTCTCCGAAAAAAATGTAACAACGCAAAACCAAATAAAATTTTAACGCTAAGTGTGGAATGTTTTCTTCGCCAAATGATTAATCCATTGTTATTAGTAAATTGATCTAGGATAAGATTTCCATTCAGGCAAGCGTAGTAGGACTATTGTGGACAATCTCCTTATAACGGCGCCATTGCAGTTCACATGTATATCCTTCTCAAAAAATCCCGAAACGCAAACTAGAAAAAACTCAAACTCCCAAAAATACTAAATAAAGCACTAAAGTGCTAAATAGATTTGCGTGTGCGGCCCCTTTTTCCGATGCAGCGAGTTGTAGCGACATTTTACCATCTCTTTTCTACACTTTTATTTATTATAGCCTAGTACTCAGATCGGCTAAGTGTTGCACTAGTCGAAGAATCTTATTCTTTGTAGTGTGACCGAAGTTTTCAAAGTTCACCCGCAATGCATGTGGCATGGTCTTACTGTCAAGCAGCTGGGCTTGTTGCCAAACGGAAAATAAATCAGTTGGAGCAATTTAAAAAAGAAAAGACTGCTGGTGCACAATGAAATTAAAATAAAAATAAAATAAATGTTCGACGAATGTTTTTATTTATGTAAATTAGAAGTTTAAAGCTTCTTTCTCGTCCCACGGATGCTTCGCTATCTTTCCCGCGCCATCTGCAGTCCAGCTCCGAGTCCCAATAAGCTGGCCAATAATGGCTGGTGATGGCTCCTCCAGCTGTCCCTTAGCGGGCGACCATATTTTCTCCTCCCTACAGATGCCGGCGCGTCCTCTATCTCCGTTTTAGCTGTCAAGTAGCTGGTGGAGGTGGAGTCCTCAATGCAGAGCTCGTCAGAGATCGAACGATGTCCCATGTTACTTCCCACTGGGATTCTTTAGTGGATCTCCTCCAGCGCTTCAACTATTCTGCGGATTTGGCCCGTTGTGGTATTACTTCCTGTCGGTCAAGTCCCACAATAATGGGCAACAGCTTGGATTAGGCGTCATTTTTCATCTACACTAACATTCTTTAGTCGTTTTTGGTAGTTTTCTTCCATTCTTAAGTTTTAAATTCCCCACCGCTTCTGCACGAACACCGCCAAAGATTAAATTTCTTATTCTTTGGGCCGCGGCTAACGGCGTTCATCAAAAATTCACTCTCCAAATCTGGTATTTTTTCTGGTATTTCCTTAGCTTATCTGACTACCGCGCTGAAAAACAGACCCTACAAAAACCGTTAGCCGCGTATTTGCCTCTCGCTCACTCCTATGGTTAGCTCGCGGTTTTCGTCGATCTGAATACTAGGCTTAAGAGTTTTACTAGCCGAAAAAGAGTGATCCTTGTAGTGTGACCGAAGAATTCAAAGTTTATCCGCAGTACATGTAGCATGGTCTTACTGTCAAGCAGCTGGGTATGATTTATTGAAAAACAGAAAGTTTAAGGATTTTAAAAAGACGAATCTGCTAGTGCACAAAGAAATGCAAATAAATGGAATGTTCAAAGGATGTTTTTTATGTTAATTAGGGGTTTAAGGCTTCCTTCTCTTGTCACGGAAGGCTTCGCAGAGTTTTCTGGCCAATATGCCATGGGCCTTGAAAAGGGGGCCGCATTGGGGACGGGGTGTTTCGTTGATGCTGCAGTAAGTCGCTCAGCATCCTGACAATGGCTGGTAGTGGTTCCCCTTCTGCTTTGGCTGCCACGTAGCTGGTTCAGGTGGAGTCCGGCGATTCCCCAATGGAGAGCTCGACAGAGGTCGTTTTACTGGTGGTTCTACTAAAAGGATATTTATAATAGTACAACGTATTGGGACGAACACAAAAACTGGCAAACTGCATAATATGTCCATATTAAGTAGTCCTCCAAAATGATGTTTTTGGAATAACTTTCATACAGAGCATCAGATTTTTTAAGAGAAAGAATCCAAAAATTTTTATACAATGGCCAATGGTTCCAATTTTCACTTTAACACTTTCACCGTTTTTTCTCCCAAACCAAATGATTTTCTTAAATTCTTCTTCAGCTGATAATACACTCAATTTAATACACTCCTGGTGGGCTTCGTCACTACGTGGACTGCCATCCACAGTGATATTTGGACTATATACAATACAAACTATGTGCACAATATCTATCCGCAAACTGCTACATTTCGTGGTTTTTGTGTGGTGGAATAATGGAACAAATTTATTAAGGATATTTAATTTTATTATTTGATGTAATTATATTATTATTTATAACTTAAAATTTTTAAATTGTGAATACAATTTTTCTGATATTGAAGCAACAATTTTTACAACTATTTATCATTACAGTTTAAATTTACTCAACCAAAATAGTGTAACCTCTTTCTCTCAACGCGACAAATAAAGTCATTATTCTACTGCCATTTTTATTCTTTAATATACCTATTTTAATGTTATTAGGTTGTAAAATATGACAAACATTGCTACTTTTGTAATTTACCGTATCAAAGTAGTTAGGATTTTCTTTAATTAGTTTGTAAATATCATATTCTGAAGAAATAACGAAGAAGTTTGTGTCCATATACAATAATTTTAATGAAGGACACTTAACGTATAGAAAGTTATGGAAGTGTTCATACATTAACCATTTCGACAATTCAGAAACACACGCGCCAATAAACATAAATTTACCATAAGAGATATCGATTGTAGACTCAATTGCTGCTAGATTTGGACCAATGATCTTAACACTATGGAAATTGTCTCGAGCAATGCGCTGTCTAAACCCAGCAGATTTCTGCCTAGATTGATAATGTGAGACAAAGACAACATCATTTTTATTTTCTACAGTAGTCATTAGTTTTTCAAGGACCACTTGATTCATTAATTTGAAGAAATGGCTTTCAAACTCACTTTGAGCTAATTTCCTGCCGTTTAAGTTTAACTCAACATAGGGCTTTAACCAGCAAGATTGATTAAAAACAAGAACGCGATGTATTTTTGTTAATATCAGCCCGTGATCCAAACAAAGTTGAAGGTGTTTCAGATGAATAACATAGTTTGACTTGTCAGTCACATCAGTTATTAATTTTGAATTTATTTTCTCAGGACAGAATGGCAAACATTGATGCCGTCGGTGAAGATAGGCGGGATATTTAAGGTCTACTTCAAGCATATACCCCAAATCTCCGTTTGGAGTTATATTTCGAACATCGAGCATCGCAATTTGACTACTACTCAGAAACGAAAAATTTGAAAATGGCAATGGCTGGCACATTGCCCAATCGTACAAACCTTCTGCCTCCAAGTGGGCCAAAAAATTCAAAGGTTTGTGCGGATCAAAACTTTCCAAATATTTATTATTAGCTATTGATAGACTTGGGGTAAATTTAACTAAACTTCCACGCGTTGCTCTTTGAAAGAATCTAATTTTGTCGGGGTCACCAATGAGGTCTAGTTGAATTTTGGTAAATTTCAGCATTGCATCCCAAGACATGGTAGACGCATCAATATAATTAATTGGGTCCAACTTATATATTTTTAGGCAAACACTTCGGAAGTGTTCAAAAACGTCAGCCAAAATTAGGATCTTACTCTTCATATATAGTTCCAAAAATTCGCTTATACTCCTGCATTCAAACTTGTTCCAAACTTCTTGTGCATAATTATAATCTTCAACACTGAGAGTCTTTTGATTTAACGGGTTTGTGAATTTATGTAGGTGAGGCAAACAAGTTTCATTTAACTTAGAAATGCTATCTAAATAATAATGTGGAAATGTTAGCTTTGTTGGCACATGTTCAAATTTGTGCCCTTGAAATTTTAAATTAAAGTTTTTAAATTGTGCCTTATCCATAAATGTGGCAAGTTTCTTAAAACTTATGTTCAAAAACCTATTTGAGTTCATAAATTTTAGTTCGTATTTTAATTTAAAATTAGTTCTTATAACATAAGTAAGACCTGAATACATGTCCTTATTTGAAGGAGTTGGTTTTAATTCCTTGCCTAATTCAGTTACTAGTAAATATATATCAGATCTCGATAAGGACTCGAAAATAACAGGAAAAAATGGATCAGTTAACACGTATGTTAACATACAAGCTTTATGAATTGGGCCAACATACTTTCCAGTAAATTGATTAAAGTATTTTTCTCGATCGTCATTGAAAATGTAATCATCGCAAGCACAACACTTTCCATTAATTTGATTATCCTCTTCACATATATTCAAATCGTGTATGGAGTTTTTAGAGTTTCGCCAAACTTTATAAAAAATAGCAATAGTTTTGGCCTTTAGCTGTATCCAAAACTTTTTTATGCAGTCGGCACCTATGATAGGAAATGAAACAAAATCATTATAATTATAAGAAGCCAATATATTATGTGATTACCTTCATAGGTCCACATTTCGTTATGTTGCGGATTATATTGATGAGCAATATAAAAAGAAACTGCACACGCCCTCGGTTCTTTATGTTGTGAATTCATTAGTGTCGTTATGCTTGCAAAAATGACTACGGGGGGAGAAAGTTTTTTCGAAAAGGATGTGAACACCATTTTAGTATGTTTTCCAGGATAGTTAGGAAGTTCCGTTCCACTCCTCTCGGTATCATGAGCATTGGGTTTCTCATAAACGTTGGAGTCCTTAACTTGCAAAGAGCTAAGTTTCCTTATGCTCGTAATATATGCGTAATGCACTGAGTGTTCTTCTTCATCGTTTAATGACAATAAGTTAATGTTATGGTTTCGAACCCATTGCGACTTAATAGTCGGTCCCACGATACTCCTATCACCATCATCTACTTCAAATACATTTATGCTAAAATCAATATTATTTTTCTCGAAAAGCTTAATTCCTTCTCTGGTTATTGGAAAATCTATTCCCGAAAAATTGAGTGTAAACTCATCATACTCAATAATGTCTCGAGCAATGCTTAAAATCCGATAATGATCTTTTAATTCTAATTTTCGTAAAGCAGTTTGTTTTTCCAAAATATTTTCAAAAGTTGAGTTAATAACTTTTCGACAAGCAATATACGCTAAAATACACCATTTAAAACAGTACGCATCGAAGTTTTTTACATTTATCACTGCATATGTGTTGTCTATATTCCGCGGAACAGATACATATCCAGCTGTTGAAATAATAAGATCGCATTTTATTACCGTGATCTCAAAATATTGAACATTTTCCAACGCCCAATCCGGTTCCAAGTCCTGAAACTCTCTGGATAATCCAATTATTGTTTCAAGCGCATTTCTTAGTTGATCTTCTATAGATTCTATGTTATACGTTGTCATGTATGGTGCCACAAAATCCTCAATTACTTTGCATATATTTTCATTTTCGGTTAACTTTGCATACAATACAGAAACTTTAAGGTTGAATTTTATCGAATCTTTGTAGTCACTTATGCAGTAAAGCAATATATTAATAATATTATTTTTACCCTGCCGGTAAAAATCCGTTATGTCGAATTCAGTTTTAGTGGAGTCTACGCGATATGTCCTTACTGGAAAGTTTGATTCTTCCGATATTAAAGAAACATTTTTGTTTCGCTCTAATTGATCAGCTGCAGCAATTTTGTGATTATCACTAAGTATATGGTGCATTGAGTTTGTCGATAAGTATACTTCTACACAAACTGCGCAGAAAGAAATATTATCAAAATCTTCAGGTCCATCGATTGCCTCAACCTTCGGTCGTTCTATATCTGAAGTTGATGTCTTGTTGCTTTGAAAAGTTTCCAGAGGATGTTGATATTTTTTGTCATGTTCAGGGGACGTTTTACACTCCATCTTCTTGGCGAAACTATATCATAGATACGTTAAACTCGATTTGTACACACTTTTGAAATAAAATGAAAAATGTTAAACTCCAAAAAGGATTGCTCTCCTCAACAGATTGATATGCACTAACTGAAGACTCCTTACTCCTAAAACGTACACGTGTACCTGTCGACAAACAATGTCTAGTACCTGCTTTGCAACCGGTTTTTGAAGAAGTGGGTGCAGTGAGTGAAGGTGCGGGAGTGAAGCGCTCCGCTGAAAAAGTCGGTCAGCAGCGTCCACCTGCAGCGGTGCGGCTTTCAGCGGGCGGCCCAGGGGCACACCTGTCTCCGCACATGAAGGTAAACCCACCGGGAACTCCAGAAGGCATCTAGGCTGACATCGAGATTCCTCGGGAACCAAGCGGCACCAATAAACACTCTCTTGAGTGATTCTAGATGGCGGGTAAATATTGTTGTTGCACCTCCTCTCCAGCTTCGCACGCTTTGTGCTGCATTACGCTCAACTGGCCTGATCAGCAGATCCAGCTGATCGCAGGGTAAGCTGGCAAAAGCTCCCTGCCATGATAGACCGAGACCCTACCCTGCAGTTACACAATTGAGTATAAGCGCCCAATCACCATGAAGCCGACTGCGACGTCGGCAGAGCAGACAGCGACGCCGGCAGAGCTGAGCGCAACGGCGGCAAAGCGACGCGCTCTCAGTCGGGGCAGTACAGAGAACGCACAATGAGTACTTTTGGGCTCTCCCTCTCTCGCCATGTCTCAGCTGGGAAAATGCGGGTGAAGGCAAGGACGCCCAGCCATTAAAATATCTCGACTTTCGTGCACCCTTGTCTTTTGAGTAATGCGACATTTTTTCGTAAATGTTAAAACAACCAATTAAAGTAATAGGTTTGGGATTTAAGATATTTGAATTTCTTAAAAAAAATTATATGTTTATTAATATTATTTATTAATATGTGAAGTTATAAAAATATATTTTTATAAACCGATTTGCATAGCGAATATGTCTATAAATACCCTACTTTTATGTGCAAGGTGCATAGACCAAATGGGACATGCCAAAAAAACAGAGCAACAACGGATTAGCGGAACCGTTGTTGTTGTTGCTTGTAGTTTTTCTGGAAAACACGCGCCTTTTTTCGTCTTTTTCACTTGCGTTTACTTATGTGAAGGTGTTTGAATTACCCGCAACTAAGGTAGTTAAACGAAATAAACCAGTGGTTTAAAATTTATACCTATACGATTCGCAGGTAAGTCTGTCGCAGACAAATATTTTTGTAAACAGTGAGAGTAAAAACAAGTTAATGTATATTAAAACAAAGGAAAATACAAGACTCCCAAAAAAACACGTGGCGAAAAAAACTAGCTGTGAAAAATTTTTATTTATGACGTGAAAAACAACAAATGATGCATATAAATAAACAAATAAATGAATCTGTGAAAGAATTTAAAAATCTTATTCAGTGCATAGTTCCTATAGATCAAAAATAAGAGATGTTTGTTTTAAAAACTTATGTTTGTGGTTAAAATTAGTTAAAAATGAATATTAATAATATTAAACCACAGTTTTTATACCCGTTACTCGTAGAGTAAAAGGGTATACTAGATTCGTCGGAAAGTATGTAACAGGCAGAAGGAAGCGTTTCCGACCCCATAAAGTATATATATTCTTGATCAGGATCACTAGCCGAGTCGATCTAGCCATGTCCGTCTGTCTGTCCGTCCGGATGAACGCTGAGATCTCGGAAACTATGAGATTTGGCGTGCAGATTCCTGAGCTTCTTACGCATCGCAAGTTTGTTTCAGTAGAGTGCCACGCCCACTCTAACGCCCACAAACTGCCCAAAACTGTGGCTCCTAAAGTTTTGATGCTAGAATAAAAATTTTAACTGAAATGTATATTCTCATTAATACCTAACGATAGATCTAAAAAAAAGTTTGCCACGCCCACCCTAACGCCCATCAACCGCCCACAAACTTCAAAAAATCGTAGATGTGAACGTAGATATCTCGGAAACTATCAAAGATAGAGAATTCAGATTTAGATTCCGTAGCCTTATACGCAGCGCAAGTTTGTTACGCGAATATACCACGCCCACTGTAACGCCCACAAATCGCGAAAACCTGTGACGCCCACAATTTTTATGCTAGATAAAAAATTTTAACTGAAATGTATTGGTCCCGTCAATACCTATCGATTGGTCCAAAAAAAATTTGCCACGCCCATAACGCTTAAATCTGTATACCGCCGGTAGGTGGCGCATTTCAATCTCGCTTTGCTACTTGCATATCTCTATTTAGCTGAGTAACAGGTATCTGATAGTCGAGGTACTCGACTATAGCGTTCTTCCTTGTTTTTATTCTCGTCTCGTTCTATTTTCAAAACTAATTTTTCTTCTAATACTAGATGCAATCGCTCTGGTGGAGCCCTCGGAGCCTCCCAAAAAGGCGCTGCAGAAGGCAATGCGGTGCGTGAAGAATTTGAGCTGCACCAAAAAAAGGCAACTCCGGCCCCAGATGTTGGCGAGGAGGTGCCAACGACTCCGTTAGGACCGGGAACCCCCGAGCCCCATTTTAAAATAAAGATCTAAATAAATAAAAAAATTTAGAAATTAAATAAAACTCATAGAAATTGTGCGCTCAGTGATGAACTTTTTGCAGTGATTGAGTGCTCAAAAGGCGCTGAATGGTAGTGCAGGGTACAAATAGATGTCGTGTTGGTGCGGCACGCAGCGTAGGAATGTACTGCCTACATTTGTGCGTTGCTGCTAGCTGACCACTGCACTATGGGGAAAATTACCACTTTATCTGGCATTTGCATGTTTTTTAAAAGTTTTCTAATTACGACAATTTTACTGTTAACGCATTAAGAAAACATCAGACTGTTATGCCCCAAACTCAAAATGTTAAATTTAACAGTCCCCTGTTAGAAAAACGGCTGTTAAGTCAGCTGTTGCAATCGAAAGCACGTGCGGCTAAGTTGTGTGAATTTGTACGCTGAGTTTGGATTTTAATATTTAATGATGGAACAACAACTAGAGGAAAACCAAAACATGAATGCTGATCTCGCAGGTTTGCACTGTGTGTTAAATGTACTAAATCGTTAAAATTGTGCGTGTGTATACTAATATTTTGCAGTTTTCTAAGAGCTTCCTTAGCTGAATTTTTAGAAACAAATTTCAACTTTGGAAAGGATTATCTAAGAGAGTTTAGAATTGTTTAAGTGTTTGTCCAAGTGATTGTTGTAGCGTTGTCAATTCTGAGTTTACAGGAATTGGTCCTAATGTCATATTTTTCCATATTTTGGCGGAATTTGCATTTTTATTAGGTAACCTCACTTTTTCCAACGTCGACTTGTTTGCAGTGTGGAATAGCGAGAGGGGCCGGCACGAGCGAGAGAAGGCCGTTCAAAGATATTTTGAACTGCATGCGTGCAATAATGTGGATGATAATATTTTAAAACATAAAAGTCACCAATTTTGCAACAATTTGTATTACAACTGGCTTAAATGTCATAGCTCTTATAAGAACTTCGAAACAAAACATTCCACATGGATGAAAGGCAACACAACTTTGCCTTTAAAAAAAAGTAACAGACCAGTTGGACGACCACTACTTCCATTTGAATCGAAAGGCGAAAGGGCTCAAAGACTGCAAGCAGCGGAACTTTCCAAATTCCAAGGGGACGATGTTTTTTTGCTAGTACATGCAGCAACCGCAGCTGCCCGGAAACAAGGACTACATGATCTTGCTGCAGTTCTTCAAATACTAGGAAGTACCCCGGAAAAAGCCAAGCAAGTCAGAGAAGGATTGACAAAGCCCGTTGATCAGCCTATAAGTGCGTCCAAAGACGAAGCGTTGGCATTAATTTTGGATCAAGGATTGACCAAGGAGCAGTACTGTTCTATCCGAGATGACATTCGTAAGAGAAATGTGGATATCTACCCAATTTATAAAAATGTGGCAGAGCAAAAGAAGCAATGCAGACCAGTGCACTGTTACCTGCTGCGGGTTGCACTTGTCGACTGGCGCTCAGCAGTAGCATACATCTAAGGGCTGCTGCTCCAACTCCTTGGCAAGGAGTCCGGGACCGAACGATCGACACCACTTCTGCACGGCAGAGGTCTTCCTGGGGCCAAAGGTCAAGGAACAGACTGATTGCCAAGCCCCACGCTAACGCGATACACCGTGAAACGGGGCTCTGGCGACCGAGTAGAGGCGGTATAACCACCAGGAGCTCACTGGACCGCACTATAGGCTGGCTGAACACTTTTTGTGGCCAAAATTAATAACTTCAAGCAATACCAAATATTTGAGTTCGGTTCTTATATTTGGGCTTATAATTAGCAAATTAACTGAAAAAGGCAACGCCCCTTTTTGGAGAAATTTCTTGTTATATCATAAAAACTAATATAAAAATAAATAAGAAAATACTTACCCTAAAAACAAAACTTAATATAGAGGTGTATATTTTTGATTTGGATTTATATCGATATAATGAACATATATTTAGAAAAAAGGTGTGGAGCCGCCCATTTTTCACATGTTAAGAAGTGGTCTTTAAAAGCCCTCGATATTAACAATTATTAATATTATGGTATTGTAACATCTTCTTGGTTTTGATTTTTCAATCCATCCTCATTAGCACCTGAACCAGCTATGGAAGCTATAAATCTATTAAATATGGCCTGCTCTTTCTCTCGCTTTGTCTGTCTAGAACTCCAAATCCAAAACAATTTTGAGTTGTCCAACCTGAGGTTGTGACCTAAAAAGGTAAATTGCGACGAAAGTGCGCAAAAGTGCACTTCAGGATAGCATTCATATGAACAAGAACTGAACTACCGACAACACAATGAAACTCACTTAATATCTCTATTTAAAGTTACTTTTTATTTTAAATGTGTACACGTAAAGCGACTATAAAAAACACTCAATTACAGGGACAACACAAACAAATCCAACTTGTGACGACCACAAACATAAAGTACAAGCCGCTATCTTTCGATGCCATTATAACTTGTTTGGTAAAAACTTAGTTTGGTGCCTGATTTTTATAATTTTAAAAAACAGGAGAAGCACTGCTTTGCGGCCGTACCGCACAACTTCTGCAGTTTAAGTCCATTTATTGTCCTAAATGTATATTTATTAGTAGTAGTAATAAAGTAAAAAAGGAATACAAAAAAAACCTGCTTTGCAGCCACACTCAGAAAATAGGGTTTCAAATTCTGAAGGTTTTTTAGCAGTCGGTTTACAAGAATCTTAGAATGTTTTATTATGAGTTACCTAATGACCGAAAATATTGCACAGGGACTTTAAATTTCTGTACCTGATTCACGGGCATTCAGGTAAAAAGTGTTTGACGCATTCTCAAAAAGGCCCATTTCAAAATTTAAAAAAAGAAATGTTTTTGCAATTAATATGCACTGATAGCTTACTTTTTTTTTGCGATTTGTACGACTTATTCTATTTGAAGAATCGTTTACCCTCTACAATCAAAAAATCATACCGACGAAGCTAATTAGCCGTTACTCGAAGAGTAAAAAGGGTATATTGTATTCGTTTAAGACCCTTTAGAGGCTAACAATTTTGTAAAATTTTAAATAGGATTAGGTTTTGATTACCAACAACATTTTAGATAGCAAGCAAATAAATAAATAAGCAAATAAAGAAATCGATGCTAAGTGACACGCGGGTGCAAT